CTGTACTGAGGTTCCAATACATGTTTATTTCACACTTTTATAGATGTGTTTTTAATTTCATATATTTAACTTTAGATTATCCCATGCTTCAGGTACCCAGAGTGTTCATAGGAGGGAAGTGCATAGGTGGAGGAACGGAAACAAGGCAGCTCTACAAGGAAGGAAAATTAGCTGATTTGGTTCAGCAAAGTTGTGAAAATAAATGATTTTATTGTATTATAGATGTGAAGTTACAATATCCTTTTAATATATTTATTCTTGAAAGTAGTAGAAAGTAGAAGATATAACTTAATTCATTTTGTGTAATAATATAAAGTAATCCTTTTTGCCATATTGTAAGTACTATTTTATATTCAAAAAGACTTTTCTACCTACCTCAGTTGTTAGATTTTGGAACTGATAATAATGAACCTCTGTATAAATATATGATAAAAAACATTTGCTTATGTAAATATATGTTTTGTTAGGATTGTGGTGTTTGATTTATTTTTTTTTTATTATTATTTTTTTTTTACAAGGACTGAGGCAGGAAATGACTAAATATTTCCTTTATTAACCCAGTACAGACTGTTTTTTTTACAACTATGAGCATGTGACCATCTGATATTTAAATAAAAAAACCTTCCATCTACTTTTTGATTTATAATTATGTTAATCCCTTTTAGCTGCAATGGCATACATATCATATCCACTTTGATTTAGTTTATTGATTGTGTTTACAGATGGCTCTACTCAGTCACCAGTCATATATCTCATTTACCTCGTCTTGATTTATGGAAATATTCTTTAGTTTTGAAAAACATTTTTCCCAAAAAATCAAGGAATGGGGAAATCAACTGAGGTCACAATGGGCTACCAAAGCACTTGTTGAACCATCTGCGTGTGACACAATTCGTAGTGGGCAATACATATACCTGCATACAAAAGGTGAAGTAGAAAAAAAGACAATAGACCAACAATATTAAATTTTCATCAGAATTCAGATTATTTAATTTTGCAGTTTTTTTTAATTAATCATTCTCATTTATGCCTTTTTCTACAAATGTCAAATGCTTTTCAAAGGTTAATGTTTGTTTTGAATTTTTAAACAATTACTGACTGTGACAATTTGGTTTATGACTTTTTTGTACTGAATTGCATATGGAGATATGGGGAGCAGAAAGGAGGAAAAGGTTGCTATCTAAAATATTTGCAAAGCTAAGATCTATGAAACAGAAGGAGGGATGCTTATGTCAACAAGTCTGAGTGGACATATATACAGGAACTTGTAATGGACAAGGTATGAAACTGGAATCAATTTATTATATATTTTTATGGTATGCCACATCAGCATGTTAGTACTCACTCACATCTGAGTCACCTTCTGTTAACTCAGCTGTAAGTCAGCAGAGTCAACTAATATCCTAATGGGTTTAAAGTTTTAAGAGACTACACAGTACATGAGACTAATGTAATAGATGTTTGTCCTTTATTTGTCATAAACAGGTGCATAAAAAATGAATGAATAAATCTAGATATTTTACTTACTCTTATGAATACTTTCATAAATTCTTGAAACTGCTGCTAGACCATGCATGCTGTTTCTCTACATTAACCCATTGCCGCCGGGGAAAATGAACAAAAAATGGGGGAAATGCAGTACTCATTTTTTATATTTTTGTGAAATATCTCTGCCCATAGATGGCTCTGCTAGTCTTGATTTCACCTTTCCTTGAATTGGCGGGAAAAAACGTATTTATACTAGTGCTATAAATATAGATGGTGTTATTTTTAACAGCAAATTAGTATAATGTTAAATATTTTCGTAAATTGATGAAAAGGGTGAACGGGCAAGACAGGCAGTACTCGTAATTGGCTCATTGGATACTTAGTACAAGTGTAGCCATCTAGGTGTTAAAACAATCAAACAAGTCGACTCACAGTGGGCATGGCATGTACGTACATGGCATCCCCGGCGGCAATGGGTTAATTGACTTTGAAACATGAAATTCATACAATATTAACTACCTACCTTGCTGTAGGTGTATGATTTTCCTTTTGTTTTCTGATTGGTCTCTTTCATGAGAGTCATTCTACATCTTGTGATGCTTCCCTGCTGAATACATGACAAGGGATGACCAAATAGTTCCTAGGTGTGTTGCTATCTTCCCTAGATGGAGGTGCAATTTACCTGTTCCTCCACCTTGTCAGATTTAAATTACCCATGTGTTTGTTATGCATGACACCCCTTAACCCAATTAGCGCGGGTGGCAAGATTACAATACTGTGTAATAAAAGTTTATCTATTATATTATTGTCTTTGATGTTATTAATAATTAATTAATATTTTAACAACATTTTAATAATCATAATATCAAGAAGAATGATAACAATGCCAACATTAATAGAAAGAAAAACACATTTTCCAGCCAATTCAAGGAAAGGGGAAATCAGGGTCGGTCACTAGGGCCAACTGACAGATTCCTTGGTGGTTGGGCACATGTGGAGCCATCTGTATGTA